CATTATATCTTTCAATATAAAAACGTCATTAAATCAACATATAAAACATTGATTAGTATAAAATTGGAAAGTCGACAACCGTTCTCTCCGTCCAATTAATGGTTCACCGCATCCAGTGCTCCAGACAAAATTGTGTGAGATCGAGCTGTCACCAGCAATCGATAGCTCCTTTGTGTTAGATAAATAGTCCTGCCAAAGTAAGCCAACTTACAACTTGAAACATCTACAACTAGGGTAAAGCTACTAGTATAGTATTATATTGTCTGTGGTTTAAAATACAATTTATTCAACAATTTTTTTTTCTTCAATCTATATTATTTATTATTAATATTCTAAAGAGGGAAAATTTGTATTTTTGGATCTTTGTACATATTGAAATAACTCAAAAACTACTGGGCCGATTTCCAAAATTGTTTCATCATTCACAAGCTACGTTATAACTGAGAATGTAAACAATATAGCCAATCATAGGCTACAAAATGCCAAGCCTATCATAGGTTAAAAACGTAGCCTATCATAGGCTACATTTTTCTCATTTTTATTAATTCCACGCGAACGAAGACGCGAGCAAAGGCTAGTTCTTTATATTTAAATTCAGAATTAAGATGTGCAATAAAATACTTTACTTAAATTGTACTTGAACATAATTGCAGGGGTGTTCCAAACGTGTTTATCACAAACATCTACGAAACTCGAAGTATTTTTCATTAAAGTCGACGCAGGAAAATTTCATTTCCTTAAGCGATATTGTTATTATATTTATCATTCTTGATCGACGTCCGCTCAATTTACTCGAAGTAAATGAAGCATAAAATTACTTTATCAAAGTATCAGAGTTTTTATTTTAACTGAAGAATTCCTTGGAACAATACTTTGTTTTTATAAAAAGGACAACTCGGATATAATGATTAAATATATTCAAAAATTATCCTAAGATTTTCTTTAAATGTTAGATTTTATTAATAGTTATGGCATTCTAACACGAGAGTTTAGCTACTCGAAAAAGTTTGTCAATTATAATTGATTTGAAAAATATAACTGGTAATAAAATATATAACTTTCTCAACGTATAATTAACGAAGAGCACATGACATTGCGCATTTATAACATCAATTTAATGTTAACACCTACAGAGAATCAAACCGCAAACCAACAGCAAACTTCACAAATTTCCCAAAGCGCATCAAATAATTTAGAACCTCTGAGCGAACTCGATGAATATTCAACACGAAGCGACCTTCGTCCAAATTCAACTAAATTTAAGGGTGCTTTCACATTAGGTGGAAATCTTCGAATGCGCAGTTCGCGTAATGCGTGCTTACCTCTCCCTAACTGCGCAGATTCATGACTGCGAACAAATGAAATCGCGCAGTTCACGATTTGGGTATGATGTGGATGCAACCTAACGTCTGTTACAAGTTCTGATTTTAATGAAGTGACCGATCGTGCGGATCATTTATTAAAGTACACCTGGTTATAGATATTATCAAGAGTATTCTAGATTCTAGCTTTGATTTTATGAAAAGTCAGATCAATTTATGATTTAGAAGTAACAAAATACTGACATAGTAATATTTTAACTTTAATTATGAAATGTAACGCTACACTCTCGCCATCTAGTGATTTAGTTACTCTAACTTCAGCCTCAGTTATAAATCTTTGATTAGATGTATTTGTATGTAAACACTAATTGCAAAGGTTTAAAGTAGAAACTATAATGCAGTGCTAAAACAAAACATTCAAATGGAATGTCTTTGATTCAAAATTTTTACTTCTTTACTGACAATAAAAAAGTGAATGCCCGAAAAAGGTTAAAGCAATAAGTAGAGTTTTATTCAATTCAATCCGTACTGAATGTAGCTTCGTCCATCGCTCCCCAGGGGGCGCGCGACTACTAAAGTTATCGAAGCGTAAACGCCGAAGCATTATTTATAAGCTCACAAAACTTGCTAACTACGTATCTATTTCAAAAGAGATTCGTGTAGATTTTACAGTGAAGTATTGAATTATTCTTTTTATCAATGTTTTATTTATTAACTAGCCGTTGCTCCTTCGTCCCCGTGAAATTAAAAAAATAATATAGCCTATGTTAGTCACTGGTAAATTATATTTCTAATGGTGAAAGTATTTTTAAAATCGACCCAGTAGTTTTTGAGTTGTATCAATACCTACAAAAAACAAAAATAAAAATCTTTCCTCCTTATATCAGTACAGATTTGAATATTTATATATAAAATTACTTCGGCACTTATTATATGAAAAAATATTTTAATTTAATCCGTTTTAAGTTAATCCGTACTAATATTATAAAGAGGAACAATTTGTATTTTTGTATATATTGAAATAACTCAAAAACTACTGGGTACAGATAGGGTACATTTTTTAATTATATTTTATTTCACGCGGACGAAATCGCAAGCAACAGTTACTTTACTTTAGGTGTTTTAACCACTCGAATCGGAAAACTATGAATTTACTGCAGATATGTAAAGCCTAATCATCTGATTTCGATTTTCAATAGATATATTTAAGGTCAATATTCGTCTCTTTGTCATCTTACTGAAGACCTAGGTTAGTGCTCTTTAATGTTCTAGTCTACTGACTCCATTAATGTTAGACCATCAAAACAGTAATATTAACAAAACATTTATATGTAAAATGATAGTATAGCTGTTTTTATAACAATAA